AGTGGTATATATATATATATATATATATATATATATATATATATATATATATATATATATATATATATATATATATATATATATATATATATATATTTATGTGTTTATTTTTTTTTTTTTTAATTGTACTTTTTCAAAAAAAAAAAATTATCAAAAAAAGATAAAATAGAAATTTTATTCAAAAACATGAGAGCCAAAATTTTTTCCAACTTTTGGAGTAAAAACAAGCAGAATAAAAAAAAATTTGAAAATATTAATTTTTCACCTAGTTTCACTAAATAATTACAAAATTTTTATATTTAAGAGTAAAATGAGGATGAAAATTGTTATCCTTTAATAATGTAATAATTAATTAGACTTGCTGTTTAATGACTTCAGCTATTTCATCAATCTTCATTAAAGCAATGGTAACGTTTGATTTAGGGTGAAAGCACATAACTTTACAAGTTCCTCGTGCTTCTGCCATTTGAAACAATTCATCATCAGAAGCTGCTGGTCCTGGCACATCTTCAAGTAAGGCCGGAAAGTCATTGACAAATGAATATGTGCGATCATATTTTGGTGTCACCTAAATACTTAGAAACGATTTTTAAAAATTGCAATTACATTAATTTAGTAATAAATAAATCAATAAACTTACTTTGCCTTCAACTCGAGGATTTCCCGGGCACAACGGATTAGTTGGATCATACTCGGGAATCTCTGCATCGTTAGAAGGTTCTACTTGACCACCCCAAGGTCTCTTCATTCTATGAGGTGACACCAATACCCATTCGCCTTTTAATGGATTATATCTAATGTGTTGATGATCTAAGTAATCAAAAGGATAATTATTAATTAGTTAACTCTAATGAATAATAATAATAATAATAATAATTCTAAATACTACCTGTTGGATTAAAAATTTCTCCAGCTTTATTTGACTCAGCCATTATTTATTCTAGTATCTTTGACAAATTGACCTTTCAATGACAAGTAAGTATAAAAATTAATGATAACTAATGAACTCTCGTTATCTAACCTTCAGAGCAATAGGCGTTAGCTCAACCAATAAAAATATACTTGTTCTATAAAAAATAAATAATAAATATACAATATTTGTGTCGTACTTAAAAATATATATTCAGAATAAATAAATGACTGATGAATATTATCATTCAATTATTTATTTTTTTTTTTTAAGAGTTCAATAAAAATGAAAAAAATAAAAAAGTCAAACATTTAAATTTTGCGCTAAGAAAATTTTCATTGGCTGTCAATGGGGCTCTTTCAACAAATTTTCCTTTGAGATCCATATAAATAAAATTCATTTGGGCCGCAAGGGGGATCTAAAATATACCTTCAACGCCATCATCACCAAACTTAACCAACTTCATTTTCAGCAACGTCTAACTTGGCTGTTTTATATTTTTCTCCTCTGCTCAATAATAATTAATAAAATAATCATCATCATTATAATCAGACATGGCGCGAGGTAGCAGTGCAGGTTTTGACAGGCATATTACTATTTTTTCGCCTGAAGGGCGATTATATCAAGTAGGCAAGTATAAAAAATCTTATTTGCTCTTTATTTTTCATAAAGTTAACAATTATTATCAACTAAAAATTTTTCTTTCATCCTCTATTGAAGTTTGTATACAGCATGACACGGCGTGATAAGCAACTTTTGAATGAAGCTTTTTTCATGTTTAATATATTTTCATTAATTATTTATTGTTTGATTTTACAGAGTATGCTTTTAAAGCTATCAATCAAGGTGGACTTACTTCAGTCGCGGTAAAGGGTGTTGATACCGCTGTATTTGCTACCCAAAGAAAAGTCCCCGTAAGTTTTAACCTCTTAGCAGTAAATTATTCATAAAAATTTTAATTTGCAATTCAAGTTACCGACACAATAATTTTGTAAATTATAATAAACAATATTATTGACAAAATTAATTAAAATAATTATAATTGGAAAATAATCAAATCTTATCGATGATTGTCACTTTTTGATTTTATTTTTTTGTTACTCGGATTTTGAAGTTTTTTAAATCTGCTGAAAAATTTTCAGAGTGGTATAACGAAAAACATACATTTAAAAAAAAATCTTTTCTTTCATTTCTAAAAAAAAGTTGAAAGAAAAAAAACGCCACCCTGAAAATTTCAGGAAATTCGCATAAAATACTGAAGTTTAAAAAAAAAATTGAAAATCAAAAATGTCAATCATGCTGAAATTTTCGTTTTTTTCTAAAATTAAAAAAAAAAAAAACGTTGATTATAAAGGTGAATTATTATATTTATTTTTTTTTTTCTAAAAAGTACATTTAAAAACAAAAATTTCAAAAAAAAAAAAAAACATCCCAATAAGTTAATTATCAAAAAAGTTATGGTTATTTAACAAAAAAAAAAGCTGTCTTTTTTAAATAACTCGTAACTTTTTTTGGGTTGGGTAAAAAAATTTGAAAAAATTCTGAAAATTGTTTTCAATAGGATAGAGAAAGATAGCAGAATTTCAGAAAAATCGAAAAGGTTCGGGTTTAAATTTATTTACTAATATATTTACTTTTTGACAGGATAAATTACTAGATCCATCCAGTATTACTCATATATTCCAACTTACTGAGCACATTGGTTGTGTTATGACTGGAATGATCGGTAAATATAATTGTGATTAAATTTATTTTTTCTGAACTTGTAAATCACTAAATAATACTATTTTTAATTGCAGCTGACAGCAAATCACAAGTCCAGCGTGCACGTTACGAAGCTGCTAATTTCAAGTACAAATTTGGCTACGAAATACCAGTAGACACTTTATGTCGTCGTGTTGCTGACATTGGCCAAGTTTATACGCAGAATGCTGAGATGCGACCACTTGGTTGCTCGATGATGCTGATTGCCTATGACAAAGAAAAGGGACCTTGTATTTACAAAGCAGATCCAGCTGGTTACTTCTGTGGTTACCGTGCGATCTCTGTTGGTGCTCGACAGACAGAAGCAAACTCGTACTTGGAGAAAAAACTTAAAAAGAAACAAAACTATAATCATGATGAAACTATTCAATTGGCAATAACTTGTTTATCTACTGTTTTGTCTGTTGACTTTAAACCGTCAGAAATAGAAGTAGGTGTTGTATCGAAAGACAACCCTAAATTCAGGTATTCATTTATTTATTTATCTATTTTTTATAGTTTCAATTGAATAATTTAAAATTAATGGATTTTATTTTTGCAGAGTCCTTACGGAACAAGAAATAGATAAACACCTCACTGCCATCGCTGAGAAAGATTAATTGAATAAAAAAAATCTAAATTGCATTACAACTTTTATAATTAATAATTCATTTAATAACGTTTTTTTTTTTAATCAGGTAAAATTTATAATACAATTAAAATAAATTACACATGCGATTTAAATTAAAAATTTGTTGTGTTTTATTTATTATTGATTAATTGTTATTAATAATATACAAAGTTTAAAAAAATGATGAATTTATTTCCCTGAGGCGGTTGCAAGTGGATTTCTCAGTACTAAAATTACAGAGTCACCACGTAGAAACATTTTTGATATAAAACGGTCTTTGTTGACGGGCTTTGCCTGAAATTAAAATAAATTTTGAATTAATATTCATTATTAATCTAAAATCAGTTTATATTGAATTCGATTTTAAATATACTTACTTTCTTTTTGCCTTTACCAGTGCGAGGTAACTCGGTCCACATTTCTTTGACATTCTCCAAAACCATATTACAATGTCTGTCAAAAGCTTTTACTCTACCAAGTAGTTTTTTATTATTTCTACAGTTAATTAATACTTGGGTATTATTTTTAACAGACTGGGTAAGTACTGAAAGTGGTCCTGTGTTAAATTCTTCTTCTTCGCGTTTTGATAACTCTTCTGGAGTCATTTCAGACTTTGGTTTCGCCAACGAAGTCCTGTAATTTTTAATTTGTTTATTAATTAATGATCATAATAAATAATAATAAGTAGATATATTAGTATTTACAAGCACACGCCGGTTAGGTTATGTGGAAAATTAAAAAACTCCAATGTATAAAATTATTTAACATGAGCGATAAATAAATATTTGTGATTGATACTTACATTTTTTAGCGCTTTTATTAATTTATTCAATTAAATTCACGTAAAAAAATTTTAATAATTATCTAAGCGTCTGTTTATACGTTAATCAACGTCTTTGTATCTTGATTTTTTTTTTTTTTTTTTTTTAATTAGGTTTTGGAGTGCATTTAAGTATTAAATCATTCTTAACAAGTGTGTATCCATAGATGTCAGCAAGTGAGAATAGTTGGAGATAATGTAGAGTACTTTCTTAAATTTAAAAAGTCGGAGTAAAAAAAATTGTCAACTAATGCCACCTTGATTTCTTGATATTTGAATTAAGTATTTTTGTAGGTTAGCTGGTGTAAAGTAAATAAGTCAATCGCTCACCACGTGTATAATTTTGTATAGTTACAATTGAAATTATTTTATTATTTTATAACAATGGTTGTGAAAAGACGTAAGTAAAATTAAATTTAATAATAAATAAATTTTAATTCATTTTTTTTCAACATGTCCATTTTTTACAGCATTTTTTGAACATATAAATTATAATTGCCCGAAACGAATAAAAAGAGAACCAAAAAATGAAAATAAAAAGCAGGAGCCTATTAAAGCTAGCAGTTCAAACAATTGGGCTGAAAGTTTATTACCGTCATTACCTGAAGAAATTCAAGCCTTGATAAATGATAATGAGGTCCAAAATGTTATTGATAAAATTATACAGCTTAATCACTTAAGTCCATGGGCGTATGATTGTTTAAGTAAAATTGCTCAATTTAATCCATTGATAATTGAAGAAAAGCTATCGGATGTATTTAAAAAAATTCTTCTATCAAAAAAAGTATCTGAGGCTGAAAAATCATCGTACTCAGCACTCTTACTAACTATTTTAGAGGCTTGTGCACGACTCAGACGCGAAACTAAACTTGTACCATGGATTCTGATGGCTCTTGACACCCATGTATCAAGTGATTTAAATCAAAGAGCTATTGATATTCTCCCAAGTACATTTATTGAAAAATTTACTCTATTGACTTGCAATATGACCCACTCTCAAATAATCAGCGTTCTTATGAGCTTCATTTATCACATAGATCTCATAAAATCACAATCTTCTCTCAAAGGTTTGAATCATTCAATATTTTAAAAATCAATATTTATACATTTATTATCATATATAATTATTATTTTTAGGTAAAACTATTTTAATTGATACCGTGGGTCATTTATTAGTAGCATTTTTTGATGGAGTTCATATACTGAGTAGCAATACACCTGAAAATATGCAAAAAAAATTTATTGATGGTTTAATTAAATTGGGAAATATTTTAAAACAGTTTGTCGCAATTGCTTTCACTCATAAAAAAAGTAATGAAATAATTATTGAGTCTATACTGGTTGTCATTAAATCTTGGAAAGCATTAATTGCTTCAATCAAAAAATATTCTGACGCACTAACTGAAGATTTAATGACTTCAGTCAGGCAAATTATTGATGATATTAATCAATTAGTTAATACAAAGGATCTTAGTATTATAAATAAAAATATTGTAAGTTATTTTATTTATTTTTTTTATGCATGACTATTGTTTTCATTTATTTCTATATGGATGATTCTCTGTAAGGACTTCTTAAATCTGTACAAAATTGTCCGACCAAATTATATTTGATTTTATTAGAAAAAAAAGTAACGGGGGCTAACAAACTATCAGCTTAATCATAATAAATAAACAGCCGAATTAATTTTTGCTTTTTCGATATTTGTGTATCTTTTGCCATATAACATGACAGGGGACTGTTTTTTTTTTTTTTTTTTTTATCAAATTGAGAAAAATCAAGCAAACTATTTCAATGCATTCAACTTTTCAAGTTCTCAATGAATGTTTACATTAATTAGAATAATATTAAGACTTATGGATCCAATTTTATAAATAAATTATAAATAAAAATAGCTGCCAGGGGACTGAGTTTTGAAGTGGCCCGGACACATATTTCCAGTACAAACGGTGCTTTAACACTAAATAAAATGCCGATAAAGCGCTAACAGCCCTAATGTTATTATATTAACTCAAGGCTAGTTAGATCCTTATAAACCTTACAAAAGGTAAAATAACACGCTGGATTTTTTTTTTTTTGGCTTTGAACTTCTGGCAGAGGACTGTTCTTAAAATGCCTGGGACAAACTTTGGTTTAATGAATTTAATGAAAGAAATTAATTTTCGGTACTTTTTATTGAAGAAGATTGTTAGTTAACTAATTGAGTTTATAAACATTATGGACCAAATTATATATTATGGACGAATAACTTAAAATTTAATGTTAAAGTTTTAATTTTGAGAATGGGACAGTCCAGGGGACTGATATTTTGGTAGTTTACGAATTTATAGCAAAAAAACCAAAATTTATTTCATTTTAATTTTCAATGCTCCAAATAGAAATGCTTTTTTACTTTCGTAATAAATTTTTTTTTTAGTAACAAAATAACAATTTTACTAATAAAAAAATGCCTGGGACAGCAAAAAACATCCTTACAGAGAATCACCCACATAAACTATGAAGTAAACGAGTAATACCAATTTATATTTCAGATTAAAGCTCTAGTGGCCTGTCAATTAGAAGACGACAAAATTAATAATACATTCGAAATCGATAACAAACTTTCAGATAACTTGGATAATTGTTGGGAAATGATAATTGAGAAATATCCAGCCACTATTGCACGGATGAATGAGTTGCAGATTAACGGGTTGGCTCGTTTATTACTAGCTAACACACACTTTTCAGTTGAAAATCTTTTATTGTCTACTCCAGTTTCTTACTATCATGTACAAAATGATAAGCCGTTGGTGATTCAGTGTGTTTATAATATTTTTCATGATTTAAATGAAAAAATGAGAGAATCTACTGGTACAACGAAAAAACTGTTGGAGATAATTAGTAAGAAAAAGTGGAAAAGTAAACGGATTAAAAAAATTTTGACTGAGTGCAAAGAAATTTTTTACAAAGCTGAGTGGTTGTCAATCGATCAAAAGTTCGTTAATTGTATTGTAAAAAATTTACAAATACTTGGTTTAAAGCTACCTTTGATGTATTTAACAACGGAATTGAGGACGGTTATATTTTTAATTATTTTTGCAATTAAAAAAGAGGGAGAAAATTATTCGAGTATCACAGATTTAAGTCTTCGTATTTTGTCAGGTAACTTTAAATTATTTTAATTCAATTTTTTTTATGTTTATAATTAGGGATTTAATTTTCAATTTTGTTTCAGATGTTTCAGAAAATAGTAATATTGACATTTTACAATATCTTGATCTAGAATTACTTGTCAATGATTTATTGAAGTATGAATCAATTAGAAAAATCTTTGAGTATTCACTACGCAATGTTAATCACTACGAAAAAATTGGAACCTTTGTAAAGGATAATAAAAACATTGTTAACTGTGCAGCACCTATTTTAATCGAGTGTTTAGAAAAAGTAAGATCTAAAATAGTAGTGAAAACTGAAAAAATTGTTGTTAAAAAATTGCAAAAAAAACTGTGCAAACGAATATTGAAATCTTTAGAGGGAGGTATCAAAAGCCCGTACGACGTTAAAAGCTTCAGAGCAGCAGTTAAAGTTTCAATATCGACGAAAAAAGTTGATGATTCCTTACTGGAAAAAATTAAACAGACAATAGATTTTATTTTTGGTAACAATATTGAACAACTAGATCTAGAAAATAATCCTTTAGTCGATGAAGGCTTGCAATTGATTCAAATTATTTTATTACATCGTGCGAATTTAAAGATTGATGATACAATAGTCAAGTGTATCTGGAGTTTGATGATGAGAAAAAATGTACCCGATATTGTATATAATTTAATAAATGCAACTCCTTCAAAAGTATTGGAAGAACAGTTGAATACACTTGAGAAAAAAACGGTAAGTTTCTTAATTATTATTTTATTATTATAAAATTAATTATAATTATCACTTAAATTTTTCAAATTAATAAATTTCCTTTACAGATACAAAGTCTTGTAAATTATAACGAAACGATGTTTAAAAATAATTTATCAATATGGTGTAGTATAGCTCAAACAGACAAAGGACATGATTCAAATAGTGTTTGCCAAAAGCATTATCAAACACTGATGAGAAGTTTTAGTACATGGACAATAACAAGTGATAATTATTCTGGTATTTTGAAATTTTGTCAGGTGATAGTCAAAGCAAAAAGATCAGAAATAAATGACCTGCTTATTGACTTGATTATACTTGTCTGCAATCTGTTTGTTAATAATTCAGGCAATGGGACGATCGATTTATATGAACACGTCACGGAAATCTGTTTAGCTTTTCTCAAACATCGAACTGCTAAAATAACTAGTCGATTGCCAGCTTTATTGACTTTGTATCGCAAGGTTGTGAAATTTGTTATCGATGAATCCAAAAAAATTCCTACAAGTACTGAATTGCTTTGTCTCGTTTTAAATACTCAAAAGTAATTATTTTTTTAAACATTTATAATATTTTTTTATATTCACTGAAAGAAGTTTCATCGTGGGTTTTTAATATTTTTATCTATATTTTCAGATTGGCAGTTGCTTTTGTAAAATTGAAAAAAGATATTGCGAGAATAATTCCATATACAATTGCAGATATAATACAAATGTATTCGGAAGGTGTTATACCAACTTACATCAAGGTAATCACTTAGTTTTCTTTTTAACTTAATAAGTAAATATTTAAAATTAAAATTTGAATTGCGATTTATTTATTTGTTTTTCTTCAAATTATAGGAGCCATTAGATGATTCAATAAATATATTTCTAAGTGTTTGTGATCAGCATGCCGTTTCATTACTTTTACGGACACTTCCATCATCAATGCAAGAAATATTTAAAACATCATACGATACTTATACTAAATTTTATAAATTTACTGGAAAAATTTAATCATTGTCAATTGAATAGTTAATTTTTATAAATAAAATCATTTTACAGTTTTTAATTTTTTTTTTTTTTTTATACTTAACAAATTTATAATACTAAAATTAGCAAACATAATTGTGTCTATAAAATGAAATGGAAAACAGAGGCAAACTTTTTTTTAAACTTGCTAATTTTCTTTATTTAAACAAATAAAGTTAATCATCTTACAGACAATCACTTTATGCATAAAAAAAAAATTATTTAAAATTTTAGATGTTGAAAAAAAATCAAATTTCTTTAATGTATTGTGCTTGAAAAACTGCATCGAGTGTTGCGAAGTGTACAATAATCGGACAATTTGTTTGGAAGATATCAAAGTTTGAAAATATTCAAAAAAGTGTTTGTTCTAACAACTAATAGATTTTTCAGCTTTAAGAGCTCACATGCGTAAAAATATTTTTTCTTGAACTCGAAAAGCTAAAAAAAAAACGCAGCAAACCGATTTTCAAAGGCTCTAAATTTAAAATTATCAGGAACATCCAGCTAAAATGCTCTGCAAGGTCTTAGTAATGGTTTGTAAAATACAGCGTTGTTTTCTATTTACATCGATTTAATTATTTAGATCGCAAGAACGATTGCAACGCTTTACAATTTCCCATGAAATTCTTTAATTTGCTAAATATACTTGATTACAAAATCTAAAAAGTTTAATTGCTAAGTTGTCACCATCATATTGGAATAAATTTCCAACAGATAAATAATTGTTTGTAATTTTGCACGCTACTTCTAGCTCACACTTGTAACAATACCACTATAATATGCAATAATTATCGTAATTAATTATAATTATTATGAATAAAGATCACTTTGAGATATAAAATAAAACCTATCATGCGATTAGTTAGTAGTAAGGGTGACACTAAAGCAACCACACCAAGCAGATAAACTATTAACAAAAAATATGAGAAATTATTCAGAAAATTCCTTCAGAAAGTTTTACGTATGCTTGATGTTTGTTGAATATATTACTTCAAAACTGATTGGGTTATCACCATGGATGATGGACACTCCAAAGATATTTCGCAAAAATCGAGAAGTCGCCGGTTCATCTTATAACATTCTTCTAATCATATCTTATATTCTATTTGATATTTTTTTTGTTTATAATAATTTGAATACAGTGAACCAAACTATTGCATCAATAGCAGCGAAGCTTGCATTTTTTTCGATAATCTGTATGAGTATAATACTGCTCATTTACATCATCCGTCAAAAGTCTCTAGTAATTGTCAAAAATCGATTCAATGATGTCGACAAATGGCTTAATGGCTGCGTAGATTATCAACTGGACCACGATAATACTAATTATTGGATATTTTTTACAAATATGGTGTTGATATACTGTTGGAGTATAGTTAGGATAGTATTTACAGTTTCATGGGCCATAGATATCGCTCTGATCTTAACGATGGCTTTTGGATTTATTTTGATAGTTCAATATACAATGATAATCAATATGATTAACAAACGGCTTAAAAGCATTAATGCGACGCTTCTGAAATTGGGAAGTACTTCGCAGAGAGCAATTTTGAATGATTTTTGCACCATTAAGAACGCATACGTTGAACTATGTGATATGAGCGATAAAATTGCGGATTTTTATCGAATTCCTACGCTTATTGTTGTTTTTTTGTCTTGTATTAGAAACATAAACAACATTTACCAGATAATTTTGATATTTCTTCACCAAGCTGAGATACCAAGTTCAGCGTATCTAGGTGGAATATTTATTATACAAATTTGTTTCTCATTCACAATACTAACTACTAGTGTGACGCAAGTACTGAGACTACATGTATACATCGTTAATTAACTAGTAAGTGATTTATAATTTCTGACAGAGATAATCAATTTGTACTTTTAATATTTTCAGAACGCAGAAACCGCTAGAATCATATCGATGAGCTTTTGGATCGATTCGCAATTAATCGCGAGAAATGACAAATAAAGTAAGTTTACATTGATTTAAATTTTAAGGTATCTGACGGCGATATCTTATGATCAATTTCCAATTGCAGTTATCCAATTTTTCAAATGATCTCTGGCATATGAAGTTTGAGTTCACACTTTGTGACATTATACCTCTAGATCGTACTCTTCTCGCAGTCGTAAGTAAAAATTGTTCCCGGTAAAATGCCGACAAATTATAGTTTTAAACTATTTTTCAGATTTCTGGTACGACTGTAACATATCTGATTATTGCAATTCAATTTCATCTCAGCAAAAATTAATATAACTTTTCAAATAATAGTTGTTTTAACGGAATCAATATCCTGGTTGTTGTTATTGCACAATTTCATCAATTATTCCATCTGAATTTTTTTTTACGATTCGAGCGTGTCAATTTCTATTATCTCTTTCATCTTTACTATAATTTATACAATTTTATTATTACTAGCTTTTATCCGTGGCTTTTCTCGCGTTGATGTCCTTGATGCATACACGTCAAATGCCGGTGATAATAAAATATTTTGAGAACTTTGTCTTTCGGACCAAGATCATCAGGAGAAAAAAAAAGTTTCTAATTTTATAGATTAAATGTCTACTATGCATAGAATGACAGTAAATACTGTTTTTGTTTATCGAGATAAAAAGAAAATCATATCGACGTCACCACGAAAAAGTTGGCTTGGAACTATAACCGCTCAGATTAAAATGAATAAGTGCTCTTAATTGCTCACTAAATGTTTGTTTCTATTAATAATTAATTGCAAAGTTTCTCTTACAATAGCAAATAACGCATAAAAAGAATGGATATATTTTTAAAATATTAAAATATTATTATTAGTCACATCAAATCACTAGAGATCACTTGCGAATTAAACTGAAAGGAAAATCTTATAATACAAAGAATTATTTTCTTTCATTACGCGATAAGCCCATATAATCTTCAAAAAAATGGATTTTATTATCTAAATTACTAGTTCACATTATTAAATCGGTTATCGTTAAACCGAATCCTTCACTGGCGTAGACATAATTATCCACTTTGTTAGTTTATGTTACTCATATATTATAAAAATCTCATCTCACTGTGATTTTATTACTACTACTATTATTACTAATATAATTGTAATTTTTTAATGAATAATTAGTTAAAATTTTCCTAAAAACTGAAATAAACAAAAATTTAAACAAAATGAATTTTTATTTTATTAATTAATATTTTGGACCATATACATTTTTAGAAGTATAATTAGTTTACCATTTAATTTTCGGCGCTTCCGGTTAGTTTATTCAACGCTAATCGAATTCTGAATATTGATAATGAACCAAATGTACTTTCATTTTTTTTATTATCTCTAACCGATTAAAACATTAAAAGAAGAAAGATACTTCAAATTGGGATAGAATTTTACCTGCATACAAAACGTCATGAGTCACGCGGTAATTTCATTTGATTAAATTTAATTTTTTCAAATTATTTTAATTAGAATTACATTTAAACATTTTAATTTTCAATTTTTTAATTTTTACATAGATAATAAATTTAGGATATAATGAATAGTGCTACCAATTTGATGGGCTCTCTACACACCGGGCAAGAAGTCATACTTATATACCGCACACCTAGTACAAGCCACAATGTGTAAGCAAGGCTGGAACACCATCCCAATTTATAGTTATAGCAAATCTTGCACAGAAGGTAGTCATTCGCACTATTGTTGACCGACTCAACTTCTGTCTGTGGTTTCTTATCGGGTTTATTTTCTGGTTTCTCAATACTCGCTGGTGGCTTTAATTTTTCAATGTAGCTGGAAAAATTTATCTTCATCATTGCCTACAGTAAACTTCTTATCATTAATATTTTTTTTTATTTTTAGATCAACTACTAAATAAATATAAATATTAGGGTGGCGCAAAAAAAACCAACTATTCTGTTTTTTTTAGTGTTGAGTGAAAAAATGTTAGTTTTCGATGTTTTAAGAGTCTTCTCTAAAGAACAGCTCAAAAAAAAATTTTTAAGAGGTCGCTCCAAATTTTTTTAAATTTCAAAAATCGAATTTTTTTTTTTTTTAATTTTATTCTCGTTATGTCATAATTTTATAGACCAAAAAAAAATAAGTTCCTGAAAGTTTCGGTTCAAAATTTTAATTTTGAGAGTTAAAAAATGCTAATCCAATTAAATAGTCACTAATGTACCATAAATGTCGAGAAAACCTTTTTAATGCTGCTGAACCTAACTTTTGATTTTGTTCTTTACATTGAACCAGATATTTTAGTAATTGTAAATCAATTGTCGGGACTATAGTAAGAATTTGGCGAAGAAACGAGGCGTTCAGATAAATTTACAAAATATTAAGAACTCAGAGAAAAAACAATTAAATATAATGATACGTTTTATTTGTAAAATTATTGAATTAAAAAAAAAAATTATGTTTTCTATATTGTGCTTGATTTTTGGTACATCACGTGGTGTATTCTTATCGATTATTGTACTAAATAAAAAAAAATAAATGTATGGAATTATAATTTGAATATTAAAAGGTCGCTCAAAAAAATCTAACGTAATGCATTAATAAATTAAAAAAAAATTATGAGCGACCTTTTAAAATTTTAATTTTGAACTGAAACTTTCAGTAATTTATTTTTTTCGTCTATAAAATTATGACATAACAAGATAAAAAATTAAAAAAAAAAAAAAAATAAATTTGATTTTTGACGATTTTTGAAATTTAAAAAAAATTTGGAGCGAATTCTTAAAAGATTTTTTTTTGAGCGGTCCTTTGGAAAGAGATCTTAAAACATCAAAAACTAACATTTTTTCACTCGAGACTAAAAAAAAAATTGTCGGTTTTTTTGCGCCACCCTAATAAATATATATATAAATAAATAAATAAATAAATACGATAATTACCTCACGAGAAGGTGGTATGATGCGTTCGATGAATACTTGACCCTTGATCATCAGAACGTAATTACAGTTTTTGAACCACTTGGCGTATTGCCGGTGTAACTCCATATTATATAATATTAAAACAATATGATCACCTATCAATATGGACCAGATATACGGTACTACAGATACTAAGTAACATTCCATCAAGAAATAAAATTATAATAATTTTATTATATATGTATAAACTAATAATTATTTTTCAAATAGAAAAATATTTTGAATAACAGAATGACAGCTGCCACATATATGATAATAATGTTATGTTTGTTTATAAATTATCTTACCAACTGGGATCATTGTTATCGACGGTTTCTTAAATTTCTTTAATATGACAGCTAACAGCTGATTCAAGGTTTAATAATTTAAAAAAATAAAGAAATGAAGTTAGTATATATTATACGTTAATTCTAATTTATTTAAATGAATAAATATTATATAAGTAAATCTATAAAAATTAGGTAGTCAAGTGTCAATGAACAGTGTCTCTTTTTGTAAATACTCTATATAAATCAAAATTTATATAGAATCGTATAAGTGTTTATAAACAATGACAATGGTAACCTCAATATTCTGTACAAGCAAATAAAATTTCGACATTAATTACTGTAATATTGGACTTTGAACATGAATAATAATAGTATTGATAATGAAGATACTCTCAGCTATTTATTAATTTGATGTAAACATTCAGTAAGTTGTGTTTGATATTAAGAGTTTGGATAAATTATATTAATAATTGCAACGTTTTAATATTTATTCATTATTTATTTTCTTCTGTTTTTATTTTTTTTTAATTTATATTTAAATATTATTGATAGTTGATTCCAGATGAAAGTGTAGTAATAGTAATAATTATTATTATTATTAAATAATGGAGCCATTGGGTGGTATGCCAGCTGAATGGTTGACGACTGCAGAATTAGCTGGTATTTGGTCTGGCTGGTTATCCATGAGAGATCGTGAAGTCGTTCGAGAGTCATCAGCTAAAGGAACGCACATTCAATTGGCACATAAATTTTTACGTCACCGAAAAAATGTCAATCTTGAAGATGCCCAGCTATTTTTCAATAATGAAGTTGACATTTGGATTGACGAATTACTCAACAAGCAGCAAATACATCGAGCTTCACATATTTTACGAAATGTTGGTCGAGATCCTATTGCGTATATTCGTAAAATTTGTATCAAGTTACCAGATAGTAAAATACGTGATTATTTGGTCAATCATGTTGTTAACAGTAATGGTTTTTCTAGTGATGATATCCTGGCATGGGACATCATTCAATGTCTGAAGAAATATAAAGACAAGTGTAAATTTACAGATAAAATATTTTATAATAAATTAATACCTAATATTTGTATTCAAGATATATTGAATCTTGATGATCATTTAAAGGACTCTCTTATTACTGAATTGTATTTTATAACGCGTGAAAGTAGCTTGTCGAGCAAACTAAAGACTGAAATTGTATGGGATTACTTGTTATTGAATAACAAAATTGATTTTTTGATCAACTGGATTGATGTTTATTACATTAAACGGGAAAATATTAATAGTCATAGTGAGAATATTGATTCGGAAATATTTTCAAAACTTAACATTACGTCGGATATGATTGAAAGTATTGATACGTCGGATGTTACTGTTCCCGGAAAATTATTACTACTCAACCATTTAGCCAGGTAATTATTTTTTTTTATCTATTTGATATTTATTGGTATTTTTTATTAAATTTCGCGTGCTTAAAGGTAAAAGGACTTATAGCTAAGGGTTAATAGGGATTTGTGCTGAAAGGGCGTATAAAAAAATTTTTTTTTGCCATTCGATTTGAAATTGTTTGAAACGTAAAAATCTGTGAAAAAAAATTATTATTAATATCTTAAGACATACGCCCTTTCACCTGTAAGAAAAGTACTACGTAAAGGTAAAAGGGCGCATAAAAAAAAAATTGTATTTTTTATACCAAATGTTAAATAATAGTTTCACAAGATAAGACAAGTTATACTCAAATAACAGCCTCATATACAAAGTTTGATATAAACAATTAGAAAATCAACCAATCAAAAACAAATTACGTAAAAATTAAGTAATAAAAAAAATCACAATGACAGATAACATTGAAATATTTTGAAATTTGCCGTTTTAATCGCCCTATTGAATATAACTACTGGTGCCGTTCACAGAACAACTGTTTCATCATGATCAAGCATCCAGAATCCAAATTTTATAATAACTATTTCTTAAAATAAATAATTTGACGTTTATAGCATTGACATTTTGAACATTTTTAGTTATTTTTTCAAAGTTAAGATTTCAATTGAATTATTTTCAGGCAAAACTTACAATTATTATTTTTTTTGTTACAGGTATGGAGTATTTTTAAAGAAAGAACAAGAAGATATTAAATTAACATTGTCTCGCTTATTCAGTGCATCAATAATACCATCAGAATTTAATAAAATATTATCTAAAGAGCACTGTTGCGTTAATGTTAATGCATTTTATCAAAATATTTTTTCGATTGTATACCACCAGAAGATAGTGAATGAGGATTTTGATTATGATGTGCATTTGCAAGAAAAAAAACTGCTCTATTTATTACGTGATATAAGTAAATCAAGTAATATTGATCAAAAAGATATTATAAATGCTATTTTTCAAACAATTAACAATGTAACTAATGATTTGTCCGGATATCTCCAATCAAATCCTTATCTCGTATTAACGTTAATAATTATTAAATACCAAAATGATTGTTATTTAATGCAACAACAGGATGGCAATAATAAATTAATGAATTTTAAAGACTACATTCATGGTTATGATATGGTAATTGAAGATCTGACAATTAAGAAAGAAGTAATTGATGAGATCTTGAAATGTTTGCCTTATTTGAAAGATATTCTGGGTGAAAATTTATTAGAAAGAAATGACATTTCAATGTACCAACTCATTAATGGATTTAACAATTTAAATGTTCAAGAACTTTTTAAATGGCGAAATAAAAATGAACCGTTACCGTCATTTACTAGTGAACATTTGATTAAAAAATATGGACATAAAGAAAAATTAACTTATAAGTATTATCTAAAAGAATTGAGACCAAGTATGGCTGCTTATATTTTACAAAAACAGCGGAGTAAAATATCTAACAGTATTTCATCTAAAATGTAAGCACTATTTATATTTATTAATTAGTTATATTAATTAAAGTATTAACTTTGCATATTTTATTCAAATTAAGAATTATCAAGTGGATTATTTTTTAATGCATAAGTTATATTAAAATTTTTCTTTTAATTTAATAATTTACATTTATAATAATTTATATTTTACAGAAAATCTGAAAGTGCAGTTCATGCTCATATTTATGGACTTAAAAATATAAATGATAATAAAATTATAAGTACCTGTATTACTTTTATAGAATATCTCGGTATTGATTCAGAATGTCTGAGATTTCATGCGACAGCAGCTAATTATATTAAAACTAAATTGGACTTACCAATAAGTAAGTATATATCTTAAAGTAGTTACAGCGTACCCCCGTTCATTTATTTTTAAAAGAGATGATAAAAACTTAATGTGAACTTTAGATGACCTCCTCGAGTCTATAACTTATCATAATTCACCCAAAGATTTGGCTATAATCACAAATTATCTCGAGGATAGCTTCAAAAACGAATGTATCACATCGATGAGTAATGTCAGTGAATTTATATCAGCTCTAAAGTCATGGGATTTCATAGTCCAATTTTCATGTATCCACAACACTAAATTTCCATCTTTATTTTTGAAATATTTGGCTAAAAATAATTATTGGTTTGAGTTTGTCCTCGTTGGACATATTTTCGGTTATCCATTGGAACAGGTAAATTATAAATATGACTCATTGAATTATTCATTTTTTAAAAATAAATATAAAATATGATTAGTATATATTTTTTTTATTTCAGATATTCGATAAAGCTGAATTGTTTAAAAATAAAAATATACGAGAACATTTATTGATTTCATTAAATAATTCACATTTGCTTGCTGAAACTTATTCTCGGGTAAATTTACCATTAATTAAATTACCAGACACAAGACAATTAAATTCATCAAGAATGAGTCGTAAAAATGTAAGGATAATTTATTATTATTTTAATAATTTTATAATTCAGAAATATAATAATACTCGATTATTAATAATTTATTTTTTAATTTAACACTTTATTTATTTAGGGCCAATCAAGCCCTATAGTGAAAACAAACCCAAATGACACTGAAGAATTACCAAATGTCTTTAAATACTTTCCGTTGAACCAAATAAACTCATCGTATAATAAAGATTTATGGTTGACAATACTAAAATGTCATCAGAGTCAAGATCCACCTGGAGCATTATTGAAATCATCACGTGATTGTAAATCATCGATACCAATAGTCTTAGCAGCCTGTTACGAGCCATCAGCAACGGCAGCTTATTGCTATTCCTGGCTGGTAATTTCCGTGAATGATGAAGACTTAATAATTGATTACACAAACTGTTTGAACGATCAAATATGGTCTGCCAAAAAAGTGTCCGATCTTTTTCGTAGAATAATATCTCTTGGTTACATGGATACTTTAAGTCGCGGGTTTCAAATATTCATGCCTGATAATCCGCTCTCAATATTCTTTGATTTTTTGGTAAAATGTATAAAGCACGCAGATTTTAAATCATCAGTTGATACTTTGAATAATTTTTTAAGTACCTGCTCAACGTTTAAAAGTAACAAAATGATTGATTGGACAGATCCTGACACTTCGTATTTAAATAATGAATATTGGATTGCAACTGTCGCTACTGAATGTATTCTTTCAGCTTTGGGACGTTGCTCACAAAGCATACAAATACAAACAAAAGTACTGCGAATTCTTGTTGAAAATAATTTCAATTCTTCATTGAATATCGATGGGATTGAATTTAAAATGCTCTGGGAAATAGTTATCAGTCTTGAGACGACTGATGTTAAAATTGATTTCACTGCTATTAAATTGATAGACAATTGTTCCAATATAACACAAGAATTTAAACGGTGCATTCAATTATTGATTGACAACAAAGATTTTACAACCGCATTGGTATTATCTAAAATATCCAACTTACCCTGTTCGAAAATAATAATCGATCAATATCGTTGTGCATTTAAAGCTCATTTAAATCAAGTATTAAAGTTTTGTAGTAAATCAATAATTAGTGGAGAAAAATGGGATTTAAATTTTTGGAAAAAGTGCGCTCTAGATATTAAAAAATATAATGTTAATTTCGAAGATGCAGCTGGATTTTTTATCGAACATGCTGAGAAAGTTAATTCACATAAAGAGCGTTATGAAATTTTACAACTCGCTCACAGTACTTTAAAACCTATTTCAACTGATCAGCAAACGATAGACACTATTGAAATGGCCATGTGGAAATCCTGCATACTGGCTGGCCCAGAAGCGATTGAAATTAATAATGAGAGACGATTGTTCAATAAATTAAAAACAGAATTATTGTCCGGTGTTAGTAATTTGCGAGTTAGTTGTAAATTAAATAATAGTGCTGAAGAAAAAGCAATCGATGAGTTGATTAACAAATTTATCGACATTGAAGATCTTGAAACAGCATTGCGTATAAGTGCTATTTTTAATTACAAACACAATGACCTTAAAATACTTATGCTTTGTTTGAGTATCGCTGAGGGTGAAATATCACCCTATGAATTAAATTCGCAGCATAAAGTTCTTTTAAAAGAATTATCGCCAATAAAACTGCAAAAATACTCACTATTACGTCCTCGAGGGCTTAAAAGACAACCAGAAGGATCAACTAATCTGTTAGCGTCTTACGACCAGTGTGACGATGATGTCACAGATATACCAACGTCGCAAATTACTACAGACTGTATTGAGTTGTTGGAAAAATTAGTTAAAAATCTCCTACATGGTACTAATGTGGGTAACAAAATTCTTTTATTGTACAAATTATCTGTTAGTTTGAAAAGAAATTATCAAAATCTATTAGTGTCCAAAGATCCAATAGAAATACTTTACGATATTACTGGGATTAATTGCCCCAATAAATTTGATCTCATTAAAGATGTAATTACTATCTACAGAATAAAAGATTTTGAAGTTGCTAAATTTTTAGCTGGAGAAATAATTTTACATATAACACGACAAATTGAAGATGGTTACGAATTATCAGCATCAATGTGGGGATATCCATTGGAAGTACATGCACATTTAATAACTGATTTATGTAGCGATCCTTCAACACTGGGATGGGAGTTAATTAAAAGTGTTAATATAAGACTGGGACATTCTCATGGAGGCAAACGTGATATCGTAACAATTAAAATAATAATTGAATTACTTATACGTGCTCATAATTATTTTACCGCCGCTTGTCATATGGAGGGAATCGCATACGTTCTGAGAAAATGTCAGAATATAGCAAATACGTTGCAGCATCTTAAACTCTGGAGCCTGTTAGTCCGATTACTAACAGGGATAGGACGTTTCACAGAAATGAATTATATATTTCAGATACTGAAAGAAAATGATCAGTTTGAATTTTTACTCGGCAAAGGACTTGATAAAATTGTAGGTTTAAAAATTGCAACCATGGAATTTTGTAAAAAACAGTGCCCTGATAATAAAGAGTTGTTTAATTTAGTTGCTAATCATTTTCAACTTTATACAGAAGTCGCAATTGTCTGGGAAAATAAAGCCAAGGCAGTGATACGTGAATTATTACAAGATATCAGGAAAGAAAATATAAGATTGATGAATAATTTACAGACGACTATTAAATTAACACGTAATGATAAAACTGAAAAAAAATTACAATCTGCAATAACGTACTATACAGATGCCACAGAACATTATTTACAAGATAGTAAATTGAACACTGCTAATAAATGTTCCCACCAAGCTCAATTAGTTGCTCTGCAATTGTCTTTATTGAATGGAGTGGGTGTTAATCACCAAGTTAATTGTTTATTGAATTTAAGCAACGAAGAAATAAATAAAGCACTTTGTCAAACTTTAACTTTCCCTCAAACATTGATTCTCGTTCAAGCTTACAATCACAATGCTGATTGGCCGAGTATTATTTATCATCATATTATTATCAATGGAGAAATAAAATTTCTGAAAGATTTTCTGATTTATAAACGACTTACCAATGGTATTGTGCAAGACTGCGTTTGCAAGTAAGTAATTATTACTTATTTAATACAATATTTTTATTATTAGATTTTTTTTTTTTTTTTTTTATAATAATTACAAATATAATCATAAAGTACTTTGGTAGTATAAAAATAACACTTTGTTTAATAATAATAATTAATAAGTTGTTTAAAATTAAAATTGATTTAATTACAGGTATCGTATGGAAAAAAATTTAACCAAACAAATGACACAAAATATGCAAAGCTTAATTGGTGAGTTGAATGACGTTGAATGTAAATATGTAATGGCAAGTCAATTGGGATTCAAAAATATGATTGAAGCAATGCTTTCTAATTTAACTATCGGATCATATTTAAAAGATACTGTGTGGAAACAAGGATTCAATCCTCAAGAATTTATTGGAGAGAATTTTCGAAGTTAAAATATTAAATATTTTTTTAATAATATATTTTATCAAAGCATATATACGTTGTATAATATAAAAGTACTGTATATACATTTTTCTAAGATACACGATTTAATGCCCAGCATTTATATTTTTAAAATAACGTAATTGATTATAATTAATAATTATGTAATCTCCATTTATATACAATAAAATAAAAACATTGAATTTAATAATCGATTAAAATAGATGATTTAGTAGAGATCTGAAGTATTTAAAAATAAATTGATTGGCATATTGCAGTATCTGCTACGATATCACAGATATGAATAATTAACAACACTTTGAAAGTTAAATTTAAAATTAAATACATATACCTATAAAAATGATAATTGATAAAAGTAACTGGAAAAGAATACTTATTGGATATCAATTGATTTTTAAAAAATTTTAATAAAACACGAGGCACTCTGTGTTAAGTAAAATGTAAAATACCGCCGTTGAAATAGTTATTTTAAGCTCGGAATAAATTTAAATAATTACTAGGTACGTATCCACTTTTCCCTTCACGGGTTTCCATTAACCACCAAGCAGTGTTACCTTTTTCATCATTTGGTCTAATCAGCTTTAATGCTTGCCCTTTTTTAACGGCAAGTGTTCCAGGCAAATTACCATCGAAATCATATTCCGCATAATAAAACTAAAAAAACATTAATAATAATAACAATATTCAGTTGAAAAACATTATTTTAAAACTTATAAATATTTAATTAATTTAATTAAATTACCTTAGAATCAAAATTTTCATATCTTTGCTCCTGTTTGCTTGATAAATTTTCATAATTCTTATTGTCATTATTTACTTGATCAACATTCAAATACCACTGAGACTGTGAATTTGAATTTGAACGAGATGAAGATTCCTTTTGAGGACTCTCAAGTGAAATTAAATTAGTATTAACATTTTTTACAGGTGATTCCAAAGACATAAGATCTGGAGTATTAGAACGTGAATCGACGACATCGTTGTTATTATTATTATTATTATTATTATTATTATTATTATTATTATTATTGCTGCTGCTGTTACTGTAAAAACTCATTTGTGATAAAGATTCAAGCATTTTTGACGGCATAAAGCCCTGTGTAATACCGTTGTCAACGAACCATCTAGAACTATCGCCCATTGGGTCTTGAGTTTTTATAACCGCCACAATAGTCCCTTTGCTAGCCCCTAAATCCAGCGTCGATGTGCTAATTAAATTATCCTTTACAACAAATAATTTATCCCGTTGATATTTACGTAACAACTGAGTTTTCTGTTTGTCGTTCTGCGGACTTACGTCAATATTGGCTTCTTCAACGCGCGGATTAACGCCAGCGAAACTAAATCTCGATATTTGATTCCACAGTAAATTGTGATTAATCAAAAACAATTGTAAAATATCCTCGGATGGATGTTGTGTAGTTGATTTAGGTAAATCTAAATATTGTTTCATTATTTTACCATTAAATAATTTACGGGCTTTTGTAAAACTACGCACACATGATATTGTTATTTTAACTCCTGCATCGATCAATATCGGTAATTCTTCTAACAATTGTTGATTCAGTGCTTCATAATTACTTTTGGTATTTGTTAACTCCTCTTGTATTATTCTCGATTCTTTATTTTTCTCATTCTTTGATATCGCGTTGTCATAGTCCAATAATTTATCATGGCGTTTGGTAATAAGCATTTCCGGCCCTTCTAATAAAACCATCAGTGAAGAGAGTGGTTTAATAACAGATCTATCAATATTTTCTTTGAATGTTTTGATGAATTGATTTGAAATCATAGAGCGTACTTGGCTATATTTTTGTACTTCAATATCATGCACTCCGGAGTAATATTGATTTATAAATTCTGCCAGTAATTCACCACAAGAAGCATCATCGTTTAACCAAATTAAACATTGTTCAATATCAATAGCCAATAATTCAACAGATTTAGCCAATGATTTAAATTGCTTCTCTAGCTCTTCAAATGCCGGGTCTGCTGGTACATTAGTTAGACCAAAACTTGCTGATAATTTAGCGCTTAGTCTACTTGATTTTTTAGCAACTGAATGCATGCTAAGCTTAGCCATTTTACGCATCAATGTATTGTCAGTATCAAAATACTTTGAAACAATATCTTTTCTTCTTTTATACTCATTGATATGAGAAGCGACATCTGTCATTGCTTTCCAAGCGGCTTCAATACCCTGACGATCTGGATGATCATCTTCTGTGCACTTGGTTAACTCGTAAAGCATCAATGGATACTTGAGAATTCTCTGGACGGGTTTTATTAAAATCGAGCTCATATCAAAGCAAGCTACTTGATAACGCAATGTTTCAATACCTTTCTCAAAAATGGTCATAATATCCCGATTTTCTTCGTATTTTGTTAACAACGACAAAGCAGCCTCATGATTGCCGCAATATTTACCGTAAACTGTTTGTAATCTGTCGGCTATTGATAAAAAACAAGGCGAAATCATTTGTTTAGATTCATCGCATCCTTTCATCGCTTTTAACATCGAATCTAGCAGTTCTTCTGCGACATGAATTACCTCTAAAAAATTTCCAAACAACAGTGGAACATCAATACCCCGTTCTTCCAATACCTTTGGATTAAATAAATGAAATGTTTCATAAGTAACTTTCAAATCTCGCACAAATTCTTTTTCAGTCACCACCAACTCAGTTATAACATTCTGCCTTTTATCCGCTCGTTTTTGCTTGGCAGCTTCAACTTCGTTTATTTCATCAACTAGACCCGTACTAGTTTCTTCGAGCTGCAGTTGAGTTTTATCGGCTACAGACTGTTTTTGCAGAGGAATAGATCCGGGGGCTGGCGCAGGTGGAGCTGGACGATGTGGCTCAGACAATCTTTTAGTTCGTTCCTCTTTTGGAGTTTCTGTAGTTTTTTCAACGTCTCTTACAACGACAAAGTCTTTAATCGAATCGTGTTTAACTAATGGAGTTTGAGATTCTTCACTTCGAGTAAGATATCCACGTGGACAGAGTCCGATATCCCCGAGTTTATTCTTAACACTTACCCAATCATCATTAGCCATTTCAATGACAGTCAATACATCACCTTCAGCCACACTCAAGTCGCCATTCATTTGAGCGTTAAATGTATGCTGAACTCTCACTAAATCACCCGCATTCAAGCGCTCGTAATCTTTTGATTGCTCAGTTTCATTACTCTCCGTTTGATTGACATCACTAGCAGAACAATTCACAATAATATTGACGTACGTCGTAGGAAATATCCCTTTTTGATTGTTTATTTCACCTTCCGCCCACTCAGAATCTATATGACGTATGAGATGCACAACTTCACCTGCTTCAAAGTTTAATTCATTAGGAAATTGAGCATTAAACGGATACAGTGTTATGGCGTACGGTTTTAAACCTAATGAATTTAATTGCCCATTATTATCACTATCATTATTGATATTGCTGGATGCATCAACAGAAGTAGGTCGCGTTTCCGGGAACAAATCATAGTAAGATGGTGCTGGTTCATTATTTGCATTCTCGCTACTCGTACTTGGTCCTGATTGATTAAAATCTTTGAATATTTCACCGCCTTGGGCAACTGATGTTGGAAATGGATCCATTGCTATATTTAATGCAGATGAACGATCACTTTCATCAACGCCACTATCTTGCTCCTCTTCCATATAACTTATAAATCCTTCAGGAAAACTTCCTTGTCTGCCGTCATCAGTAACACCAAGGACCCAACCGTCATCTAATATTTCTATTACTGTAACTATTTCACCAGCTGTTAAGTCTAATTCTTCGTCTAGCTGCGCTTTCAATGACGTCTTTACTTTAGCTTTTCTCCTAACTTTTTTTTTATCGGTTGGTTTCTATATATAAAAAAAAAAAAAAAAAAAAAAAAAAATATGTAAAATTAGTCATCAAGTTTCAGTCAAGTGAGATAAAATAATTAAATTTAAAAAAATATTTTTTTTGGAGATCAACTAATAATATTAAATACAATATTTTTAATACTTTGAGTATTGAAGAGTCTATCAACCAGACATGAGTTAATGGAAATAATCCAGTTCTTGAATCAGTATATCCAGAATACCAATCGGTGTCTACTTGTTGTACTCCAATAATAAGCTCTCCTGATTAGAGAAAAAAAAATAATATATTTTTAAATTAATTTCATCACATATTTTAAAATAAATAACGATGGTAAATAATTTTTTAAATGTACCATAAATCAATAAAAAAAAAAAAAAGATAATGATTATAGCAAACACTTAACAAATTTTGTGTTTAGAATAAACTAATTAAAAATAAAAAATTGAGCATGAAAATATTATTAAAACTATTTAATGTATATTTTCTATTTTTTGTTATTGTCATTTCTTCGTATTCATTTTATATGTTATTTTATGACATTAAAGTTAGCAGTCACTAGACAATTTTTTAATTGTTTTTTTTAATAAATAAATTTGCTCCGAAAAATTATTTCTAAAAAATTGGATTTTTTATTTTTTTAATTTTCTAAATGTCAATTTTTTTTTCCATAATTTATTTGTTAGAAAAATTGTTAAATGTCTGTTGAATTAATTTTCATGTTATTTTCATTATTGAAAATATCGATAAAGTGGAGATTTATTGAAAGAAGAAAAAAAAAAAAATTTTTAATTATACCTTCAGCAAATGTTAAATCGCCGTCTTGTTCACCAATAAATGGAGCAATAGACACGAATAGTTTTTCAGAGTCTTTAAAAATAGGTAAATCAATTTTGTGTAAATGATTTGAGGGAAATCTACCACGTCTGCCATACGACTCGCCATAACACCAATGCTTATCGATGACGTTATAAACCTGTAATTTTATTATTATTATTAGCAATGATTATCATTTAAGAAATAGAGACAGAAATATAAGAAGATAAAAACAAAGATAATTTATAATCGTCTTGGACTGGCTATTACGTAGTATTTGATACGTAATCAAATATGTGATATTATTACCAAGAAATAATCTCTTTTTGACAGACTCAATTCTCCATCCACAATTGTTAGAAAATCATTTATAACTTTTGTTAATAAACCGGCTTCCATTTTGTTTATTTATCTTTCTCATATATAATTATTTAAATCAACATTAAAGAGTTTTGTTTATTATCATTATTTCGTGTGTTTATGTATGGAGTACAATACAATTATTAAATAACTGACAGGTTTCTTGTGACGTCAATAAATATGAAGTTAGCCGCGTAGTTCTGGCACGTGGTAAAATTCGATTGTCGAGAATCGATAGTTACTTTTTTTTTATTGTTGTTATATTATCGTAGTACTTCAAGTCATATGTAAACGTGTTTATATAAAAGGTTAAAAATCACTTGTTACTTATATAAATATTATTCATATGGCTAATTGTTAACTTATTAGAATAAATAAATAATAGTGAAATATTTAAAAATAAATAAGCTAAAGTGACTGTCAACTTGAATAATTTTTTTAAAAATACCTTTATATTTTATTTTAATATCGTTAGGTTATGTTATATAAGTAATTCAATGTTTTCATTACCGAATTGTTAATTTCTTTTAAAATGAGCAAAGAAATAGAAACTAAAGAATCCGTTCAAGAATTGATAAGTGAAGAAAGTTATAGAGATAAATTAGCACGTTGTTCGAAAAATGGTCTTAAAGCCTCAATCACATCATTTTACATTGGTAACTAGTATTTATTAGTTTATTTAATTAATAAAAAAGTATTTTATTTTTTTCATTTTCAGATTCTACAAATTTCATGATATTTATTTAATACTTAATAAAGTATTTGTGGACTTAATTATAGCGTAAAAAAATTTTACTAATTTATTTAATAAATTCAATAAATATAAAAAAGATTTTTACTCCACAATTATTAATAGCTCACTCCAGTAGCTTGCCACCAAGATAACGTAACTTCTAAATAATTAAACATGCCAAGAAGATCAATTGTCCAATATCTAATGGTTTATTGATTTGTCAGAACTTGAGGTCATTGTCATTAAATTTAGTGTACTTTATCGATCGAACAAATTTGTCTACTGAGATTCTACTTTCTTAGAACTAAACAAGTGGACAAATATTTTAATTTACTTTAAACAGGCCAACTATTTTTATTTTCCAGAGTTTTTATATTAATTTTAATTTATTAAGTATGTGTCTTGTGACGGCCAAAAAGCAATACAAAATTTAGATCTGATACAGAGGGTACATTGAATTTTTGAATAAATTTTTTACAATTAATTTTTCAGCTTATAAGAGTCAATAAAATATTGAGTATTAAGGGGTTAGGTGGGTTTCAGAGGTTCAAAAAAAAGAGTATTTTTACTATTTTATTTTATAGTGTATACAATCATATATCGCGTGCCTAATGCCAAAAGGGCGTATTACAGCAGTTAGATAGGGTTCCATACCAAAAGGGCGTATAAAAAAATTTTTTTTGCCATTCTTTTTAGAATCACTCAAAACGTAAAGATCTGAAGAAAAAAAATTTTTGACGTACTAACGTCAAAAGGGCGTATCTTAAGATATACGCCCTTTTGGCTTTAGGAAATTATCGGTCTAAAGCCAAAAGGGCGTATAAAAAAAAATCAGTATTTTTCAAAATTTCGAAACACAATCTTGAAAATTGTCTGGAGAAGGTTGTATAAAAAAAAATTTTGAAAAAATTAACATTTTCGATAGTAGTAACTTTAAATTTTCATCATCTTGGACAGACTCCAAGACCAATGATTAAAAAAGCATATGAATTGAAAATTTTTTCTCGTACTAAAATGTTCATATTTTTTATAAATTTATTTTTTTTCAGACGAAAATGTAGAAGATGCAGATAGAGAATGTGCAGGAACTTTCCGTATTTTGATATTAGTTTTTTCTTGTATTTTTTAACTTCGAATAATTATAATAATTTCTTGCCTGCTATAGCTGCAATAAAAGATATATTTTTGTTTAATTGTATACCTTAAGTGCGAGTGTAGGTATGCTTTACTCTCGCCTAAAAATTCAAACCACCGATTCCGTTGCGTAAAATTGTAGTTAAAATCCATAGTATGTATATATAGAATGAAAAACAACTTAACGGGAAGTTAAAAATTATACACCCTTTTGGCTTTAGTTCACTAAATTTTCAGTTTTCTAAAGCCAAAAGGGCGTATAACTTGAGACATATGCCCTTTTGGCATTAGGCACGCGATATTTTATTTAAACAGTTCAGCATATCGAAGATACATATTTAATCAGTATTTTGTGAAAATTTTATTTGAAAATTCCGAAAACTGAGCCGCTAGTACCTCATCTCCCTTGACAACTCAAAAAAAAAATGCTCTTGCCGTGGACAGCATAAATCAATATTGGTTCATCTAAAATCAAAGAACCAAACATATTTCATTAGTACATGGATAAATCTCATTATTGGACAAAGGATTTTTTTTTTTCATTACAACTAATTTTTTCGAGCAAATGCATTTTGTTCAAAGTCTGTCAAAAATTCAAATTTTAATTTTTTTTTCTCCTTCGACCAAGAACGAGATTTATCTATATACTAACGAAGTATGTTTGGATCTTAGATTTTAGATAAACCAATAATGAGTTATGCTGTTCACGGCAAGAGCATTTTTTTTTGAGACGTCAAGAAAGATGAGGCTGAGTTTTCGGAATTTTTAAATAAAAATTTTACAAAATACTGTTTAAGTATGTATCTTTAATATGCTGAATTGTTTAATTAAAATATATGATTGTATAATACTAAAAAAAAAAATAGTCAAAATACCCTTTTTTTGAACCTCTAAATCCCACTTAACCCCTTAAAAGAGTATTTAATAGATAACAATAATTAATTTATCTTTTATTTTATACGTTCTTCATAACCAATAATAGCTTCTTAATTTGACCCCTTAATTAATTTAAAAATAACACTTTATACAGTCTCATTTCTAATTAGTGACTTTTGAGTCAATTTATTTTTGTATGTAAATTTTTAATTCAAAACATTATTTTAATATTAATTATGTTTTCTCATTACAGGTATAATTGGAATACCTATGCTACTTAAAGGCCTCAAAGTATTCAGAATACCAACTGAAGCAAGAGTAGCAGTTGGACTTTTGTCTGGCCTCCCGATATTGTATTATACTGGAAAGTCTGCCCGAGAAACTTGTATGAATGAAGTCAAAGAAAACTTTAGATATCAATAAACTAATACCATGCATTTATTTAAAAATATTAGATATACGTCACAGTTTATTTTATCAAATTATAAAAAACTAATAAGTAATACCTGTAATAATAATTTAACTTCATTGTGTGTCAAAAGATTTTTACATGCATACGAAGATGAATCAGCGAATGAAGATCCTTCCGTCAACACGGAGTATGCAGAATTATCTAATGAGTACTTGAATCCAGCTCAAAATGGACACGGAGTTTTAGTATTGCAGCCGTTTATTAAGTGGGGCACTGACAAAAAACGCAATACAAAGCCTGAGCTGCAATTAGCTGAAGCAGAAGCATTAATAAGAACATTACCACGCTGGACAGTCGTCGATTCTTTATGCATATCACTAATGACATTGACGAAAAAGAAACTTTTAGGTAAAGGTAATTTAAAAATGCTTGAAGAACGTGTTAAACAAAATTCACGAATAACTGCTGTATTTGTAAGCATGAATCTTTTACGGCCAGTGCAGATTCATCAGTTAGAAAATTTACTTGGCGTCTCGGTTTACGATCGTTATTCAATAGTCATCCAAATATTTCGTGAACATGCTAAAACCCCGGAAGCTAAATTGCAAGTAGCACTTGCTGAGTTGCCTTACATATGGAAAAAAATAACTTGGTTAAACGAAGACAGCGAAGGTCGAATAAATTTGTCCGAGAAAAGAAAGTTTGTTCTTCATGCTCGCGAATCTAAATTACGGACTGCGTTAAATAAATTAAAGGAACACCGAAAATTAATTCGTAACAATAGAATGAGTAAAAAAATACCGACGGTTGCGATTGTTGGTTACACAAATGCTGGTAAAACTTGTTTAATAAGAGCATTGAGTGATGACAAGTCATTGGTTCCCCAAAATAAATTATTCGCGACACTTGATACGACAACTCATGAAGGTTTATTGCCATGCAGATTGAAAGTTTTATATATTGATACTATTGGATTTATTCAAGACATACCAGAGGGACTTATTGAACCTTTTGTTGCGACATTTGAGGATGCAATAATAGCTGTAAGTATTAATAATGCATTTTAAAATTGATTTCTCCAGTTAAACTAATATTTTATATATTATTCAGGATGTCATTGTTCACGTTTATGATGCTAGTCATCCGGATAAAGAAGCTCAAATAGATCATGTCAGGCAGACACTTGATAATATAATGACTGAATTGGAGATACCGAATAAACCGATAATTGAAATTGCTAATAAGTGTGACATTGCACCCAAAGGCAGTGTACCTGACGATGTTACAGCAATTTCAGCTCTTAAGCTAACAGGTTTCATTAATAAATCAATACATTTAATTTAATTAAATAAGTATTTTAATAATTACTGTATTCAAATTCTAATTGCTACAAGTTATAAAATTAGATTCTCAGAGTTTTTGCAATAAAATTTTAGAATAATTACATTATGTTTTTATAATAATCGATAATTGATTTTTATTTTATAGGTATTGATTTACTGAGAAGACAAATAGAAAAACACATACTAGAAGTAACTGGTCGTAAATCATTAAAAATACGCGTACTCGCTGGAAGTAACATCGCTGCTTGGTTGTATAAAGAAACTACTGTTACAGATAGTGAAGCTGATTATGATAATCCACAGTACATGTTTATAACGTCACTTGTTACTGAGGAACAAATGCATCGGTTTAAAAAATTTATAAAACAACAAGCTGCTAATCGTGAAACTTGATTTTCAAATAAATAAAATAGTTTAATTGCAAGTGTATTTTTTAATATCAGCGAAAGATAATTGGATTAAATATGAAACATATGAAAGGCACGTATCTTTGATGAGAACGCTGTTCTCTTTTGTGATCTGTACACGTGCAGAACACGTGTCTCATTTTCAGTCTTTAAATATCAAACAAATGGCACGTGGTTGCCAAAGATTGAACGAGCTTTTTTTTTTATTATTTATCTTTCAACACTTTTTTAAATTCTTCATTAAAAAAAAATGTAAAAAAGTAAAAGACAGTTTTTTTTATTGTCAAAAAGTAATTTATGTTCGTTGCATTTTATGAGATATTATGTATAAAAATACACTAACTGTTTAAGTTTGCAATATTTCAACAATAATAAATTATAAGGTGATGTAAAAAATTGTCACTAATATGATTAATTAAGGACAGTAAAAAAGTTGTGGGTTATAATTAAATGTTGAAAATAATTTTAAAAAGTTCTTACCAACTACATTTTTTTTTATTGTTAAGATGTAAAAGGTGAAGATGATGAACTAATTAAATGTCAATTATTTTTTATTCAATTTAAAACTAATTTTCATAAAAAAAATTACTATAAACAAGATAAATAATATACATAGTTGTATTAAAAAGAAAAATTAATTTTATACGACATAGAGTGTTATTTTTTACAAGTAAGAACCAAAAGTAAATTACTGGCATCTCCCCTTGGAGCTTGCTTTTTTTTAGTGTCGTTTTTTTGCGCTCCGATAATTTTCGTCTTCTACTTTCAACATAATTTAACTTAGTTAATTACTGAACGAGTTTTTTTCTAGTTTAAGTTTGTTTAATCTATTAAATATATAGTTTTTTTTTCTTTTTAATAAAATTTAACAATAATCTATTAATTTATTTAAATATCTAATATTAAATACGGGTGAACTCTTTAACCCGTAACACGTTTAATTATCTATAGGCAATGCATTAATTACAATTGTACAATTCGTAATACCCATTATGATTGGACAATTACACAACCGATTGATCAGTACTGTTGATGTTGTGCCGTACGTAAACACACCAAGTGAAATAACATTATGCAGGTGTGCTCTAAAATAAACTACAGTACCAAACCATTTGAATATTTTTTTATAATCAATAAATCAATATACTAAAATAATAAAATCAATAGCATTGTAAATAAAGATGTGTTATTCAGATATTTGTTTTTAAAAGACCTAACAAAACTGTAAAGCATAAATATTCTGAATGGAAGATTACTATGAGATTCAAATCAAAATTGGATCGAGAAAAGATCATCGGTACGTGCTTTCGCAAATCGACACAGCACATCCGTCTTATTTTCTTTCCTCTCAATTTTTTATCCCTTTTCTTGTATTAAATCCTCTTTTTGAATTTGCATCGTTTCTTGCTTTACATTTCACTATCGATATCAACTTCAAGTTAATCTTTTTGTTTTAATATTTACTTTAGAAAAAAAAAAAATGACACTGACGTTAGCAGACGTCTAAAAATTTTTAATTTTTTTTTATTAAATAAATTAGAACTAAAAAGATATTTCTAAAAAATTGCACTTCTAGTTTTTAAAGTTTTTTAGATGTGACATTTTTTTTTTTAATTGTTAAATTGAAATTTTTTCAATAAAAAATTTCTAAAAGTTTTAAAATGCCAGTTAACTTCATTTTCATAAAAAAAAAAGGTACAGTAACATAAAATCAATAAATCAAAATTAATAATTTTAAAAGTAACAAATTACCCGCGTAAAAATTTAATTGGTCAGTAAACATAAGCTCCTGATTGGCTGTGAGACGGGCGTGAGAAAATAGCATAGAGGGCACCACTGGAGCGTAAAGTAGCTCGTAGCTCTGGTTGCTCTGGTTATGGTAGAGGGGGTTTTAGTTTAGACTCGGATTGGTTTTTAGATGAGGTGACTTGAGGGGAAGAAAAGAAGGTAAGAGGGAAGCTAACAGTGGTAGCAGGAGCAGCCCAGCAGTTGAGTCCCGTGAGTGGTCCGGGCAAGCACAAACGTATAAACAGAAAACGCGTCAGTGGTGGCACATTGTACCGGGTTGTTTAATATTATAAAACTGCCATCGAACGTCGAGAGGGTGCAGAGCGGTGCTTAGGGTGTGTGTGTATTAACGAGACGCGTGACGGTTCTACAGACACTCAAACAGTATCTCAGATCCTCAACTGAATAAGTTACAATAATCCACGATACAACTTAACCAACCAACCAACTCATGTACTAAATTATATTATTTTCATTTATGTTTTTTATTTTTTGTACATCCAACGCAACTATTTATACATCAATATATGTTTATTGTGGATCAACAATTAATGGAGTTACATATTTTAAATGATAATTGAATTAACAGTGGATGAAAATAATATTTTGGAGGATTGAGCCGGCGCGAGAGCTGTCACTTCGATCGCCATTTTAGCGCCGTTCGTGCTGGGGAATGCGCGGACTCTATCACGTTCTGAAAAGGGACACTGGACGCTCGTGTTACTTTTTAGTAAATAAATAAATAGATTTTTTTATGAAATATTTTTTTTATTATTATTAATAGTTAATAATAATTAATAATAATAATTAAATAAATAACTGAGGATTAAAGTGAGTGCACGAGCAGCGCTGTTCAGTGTAGAGGATAGTTGTAGTTGTAGCAGTGAAGACAGACCAGACAAGGTAGAAAAAAAAAATAAATGGTTATGCCGAGAAGGAAAGAAAGCTAAAGTGAGAGTTACCGGCAACATTTGAGAAAAAGAGATAAATATAAAAACAAGTGTGTGTTTGTTATACATATATACACCTAGTGTGTGTATTTGTGTGTCGTGGGAGGCAGGGCTCGCCGTATTCTTGTGGCTCGGCCAGTTTTTTTTTTTATTTAACTTACGTTCCTTTCTCGTTTCTCATCTTTCTCTAACTACAAGCAGAGAGATTTTTTGCTTAATGGCCAGATATTTTTTATGTGGAATTTTTTTTAAGTATTGATACTGAAGTTAAGTGATAACGCTGGTATTTATATACACTGTATTATGTATTTGCATTTATATTTGTAAATTTATTAACGTGGTATTTTAAATACATCCCACGCGACCAGGAGATTAAATATTATTATTTTAAAATATCAATATCAAGATCGATATCGATATCGATGGTGAGTAGCTGAACCTTACTGATAAATACGTCATATTCTGGTTCACTTTTTTATAATTAGTGTATAAATAGTGACTAAGTGTATAATAAATATAATATATGTGAGTGAACATTTGTTTTTTTTTTTTTACAGATAAAAATAAAGATAAAATAAAAAATCGCCGTGTAACAGATGATTAGAAGTGAAGTGAAGGGTGAATTTAGAAGCCGACGTAGTTAGGTGAAAATAACAGTGACCCGACAAAATTGACCTTTACTGTTTATAAATAATAAGTATTCATTTGATATCGATAAAATTATTCTCTATTTATATGAGAGCGTAATACTAAAAACTTGTTTAAATAATACAAAGTCAATAGTTGGTGTCTTGTGTATGACGAGATCGTTGACTCCGATTGAAAGTATTGTATACCTGTCGTGGTCGCTGAACAGACGTCTGTTATTAATTTTGAATCTAAATACGTAATAAATAGTATCGCAAGGTCAAATCGGTGGTGCATGGAGAAAGGGTTCTAAAACTCTTACTCTGATAATAATTATAGTAACAAAAAGTAACAGTAATAATAAAAAATCTAAAAAGAGTGTGTGATTATTAGTGTGTGCGTGAAATACCGGTCGAGCGACTGGCAAGGGTCGTGTGTTATCGGCCACACAAAAAATATATCCTATGGTAAAAGTGGTTAATCAACTCCGTGGATAAGGGTTGTTAGGTTATTTTATTTTTTTCAAGTGTGCTAAGGGATCGAAGGCAACGGCCGCTCGAAATGATTCTGCGCGTTTAAGGGGGTGGGTGGAGAGGAGCCAACGATCGACCAAGATAAACGAGAGCTGGAGACCGCCAGAAAAACGGTGAGTTTATCTAATTGATTTTTATTATTTTTTTTTTATCTTTATTTATACAATAAACCTAGATTAATTATTGATAGTTTTTTTCTCTGCAAAAATATACGCCATTTTTACATCAGAGTCCTGGCGAATATTAACGTAAAATATCGTTTGGCATTCTATTATATTTTTATACCTGGACGAGGGAGTTCTACCTGGTTTTTATAACATCTTTGGGTTTTTCGTTGGCCGCATCGCCCGCATTCTTAAATCTTAAGTAGATGTATATATACATGTATATGTTAAAGTTGAGAAGAAAAGAGAGTGAATTTGTTCTCCGTTGCTCTTATTCGATCTGAATAAGGTATGCCGCTGTAAAAAGAAGTTATATGGCGAGACTGTTGAAAAATTTTTGGTCAACAGTGCGCCAATTAATAAAATCTACATGGAAAAATATTACAAAGATAATATGAGATTAAATTTCAATAATTATTTTTTTTTTCTTGTAATAACTTTGTTATAAGCAAATAAAACTAAAAGAACAAAAAGAAAACATAAGATAGATAGGAATTAAATGTTTGTCCATACTGCTATTTCATTGGCTCTTTTATCTGATAAGAATTCTCAAGGTCTGTATCAGGGATTTTATATACATATATATATATATACTTTAAATGAAATATGAAGACTAAATAAAAATGAATGGAGCAGTTACGCGACCTCTGGCCGCGTGAATGATTATTTATCTTCACCTTCGTCGCTTTATATTACTAATACCCGCGGAGATTAAAATTTTTTAATAACTCACACTAATCTAAACCAGCCTAGAATTATATAGTTCCATCTAATCGGATCACTCTGGCGTTTATTTTTTATTTTGTTATTTTTTATTAATAAATTAATTATCGTCATTTATTTTTTCCAACTTTGATATTATTAAGGTACTCTATTAAACGGTTGGTCAGTGGAGATATATTATTCATAATGATATTAAATCGC